TATAAATGTGGAGGTGTGCGGTGCACACAGAGACAGATAGGACGCACCCTGCAATGATCATAAATAACATTCACTATCTGTCCTTTCTCTAGAAACAGTTTGCAGCCTCCTGCCTGAATCTATGTCCATCATACGTTGCTGCCTCCTCAGCAGGTGGAAGGTGTGGGTTTGGGACCAAAGGGGAGGGAGAGGGGCCCTTCCTTCCCAGCCTTCCCAGGTTGTACTTTGGAAAAATGTACTTCCTGTGCCTTCCAGCCTAGATTTCCTGGGCCAGGTGAGAGGCTTTTGCTGGGAGTGTCCTCAAGCCAGGGGATAAGGTTCAGGGCACTTCATACATGGGAAGGTATTAGAGGCCATGGTGGTCTTGGGACCCCACCGATTGCTTCTTCACCTGAAACATCAGTTCAAAAGAACTTATGTACCCCAATGATCATAGCAGCACAATTTACAATAGCCAAGTGCTGGAAGCAAGCTAAGTGCCCAACAGTAAATGAGTGGATCAAAAATCTAGGGTACATTTACACAGTGGAATACTATGCAGCAGAAAGAAAGAAAGAAGGAGTTCCTAATCTTCCTGGCAGCGTGGGTGGAACTGGAGGCATTGTGCTAAGTGAAATAAGCCAGGCAGTAAAAGACAAATACTATATGATCTCACGTATAGGTGGAACATAATCAACAAAGCAAGCAAGGAAGGAAAATATAACCTGAGACATGGAAATACAGAACAAACTGACAATAACCAGGGGGGAGGGGGAGGAGGATAACGGAGAAAGAAGGGGAAGGGTGGTCAAGGAATGCCTATGGATCAGGGACCCATGGACAAAGCCAAAGGAAGATAGGACTGAGGGTGGGAGGTGGGGGTGGGTGGGGTGGGGGAAATGGTGGTGGGACTTGAATAACAATAAAAAAGGGTGATCTTAAAAAATATTGCATCGTAACACTGGGTGAGGTGGGTGAGGAGCAGTCGGTCCCTGACAAGGGCTGTGCTGAAATGCGTGCCTGGGGCTGCAGATTCAGTGACTTGCTGCAGAGCAGGCTGGGAAGTTCAAGGGTGGGGAGCCCTGGGGATGATGGAGGGCTTGTGCGCTAAAGTCTTAGGAGGGTAGGGGCCTGTGGTCGTTTTTTTGGTACCTGTGGGTGGAGACCCTGCGGGAGCGCTCCCTCTTCTGACCACACCTGGAGTGCCAGGAAGGGCGCTCTGTTTCCAGTTCTGCAGATGTGGGCTGTTGGGGGTGGGGAGGGGCAGTGTTGGGGCGGGAGAGGTGTGTTGGGAGTGTGGGGGGGGGGTTGGTTCTGTGGGGTGTCAGCGGAGCTAGTCCTGTGTTTTCTCTCCCCCGGGATGGGGCTGGTGGATTGGGAAAAGAAGTGGGTTGGGTGTATGTGCGACTGTGAGCGACAGTGTGTTTTGACTGGCGTCCAGGAATGCACGCGGGGGACCAAGTTCTGTCTTGTCCACACCCCGAAAGGTGACCTGGTGTCTCCAGGGCGGAGCTAGCCCTGAGCTGAAGGAGTGGCACCGCCTCTCCAGGGCGGAGCTAGCCCTGAGCTGAAGGAGTGGCACCGCCTCTCCAGGGCGGAGCTAGCCCTGAGCTGAAGGAGTGGCACCGCCTCAAGACCCGCCCACAGGCGGTAAGAGACACGGGCGGCGAGAGAAGCGGAAAGCGGACGGAGGCTGCCCCACCCGCTCATCATTGCGCCCGGCGAAGGCTCGGACCAGTGCGCGCTATGGAGCGCAGGGGGTCTGAGTTCGGTCTTCTCCTGGTCCTAGTGGTGCTGCGGGACTGTGCGGGGGAGGCGGTTCTTGTTAGGACTCAAGAAGGTGAGTTCTGGAGGTAACATTCAGGGGGGTGGTTGGGGCAGCCAAGGAGGGAAAAGTGGGGGTGAGGGGCACTAAGTTCCAGGACAACGAAGTGCCCGGGGCGGCTCCAGAACCTTCAGGCCAGGACGACGCGGTCCCCTCCTCAGTCCCCTGCGCCAGCTCATTTTGGGTCCCAGTGCCAGGCAGGTAGCTGCCTTCGGGAAAGAAGAGAGGCAGGTGGTTGGTGGCGGTGAGGTCGGGCGCGTCCGCTGGGGAGAAGGGAGGAGGGAAGGAGGACCTGCTGAAGGAAACGGGCATCATCCCCAGGCCGCTGTCCTGCCCCGGTTGCCGTCGTTCTTCTGGGGACCTGGGAGCCCCTGCCCCTGACTGTGCCGTGACCCACAGACATCGGCACACTGAGATACTGTGCTCACACCACTTCCCCAGGGAAACCCTCCTGCACCCTCACTGCCCTCCCCAACTTGAACTGCCCATGGTGGGGGGGCTGCCAGCAGGTGCACAGCCCCGCAGCCCCGGCCAGGCTCTCCCTTCAGCAGCCACTTTCCCTGAGGAGTCACCACTCTGAGCCTTGAACTCTGCAGCCAGTTTAGTCTGCAGCCCAGGGTCACTTCCACCACTTTCCCTGGAGAGTCCTGCCCCGCTCCCCCATTCACCCCGTTTTATTACCCTGTTCGTAGGGATCCAAAAACACCAGTGCCTCCAGGACCTTCTCATCTGTGAAGTGACCCTAATCATTTCCTCCACCAAGTGTCTCCTTGTTTCCATCCCCCGATGACACACAGCTGAAGCCTCAGCTCCAGGCCCACAGATCCTAGAGCAAGAGGGTCAGGGGGCATGTTTTTCCCAAGTGTGGTCCTGGGGCTGGTGGTCAGGAAGGGCCCTCCCTCCCTCCCCTTTGACCCCACACCCACATTTCCCACCTGCCCAGGAGGCAGCTTTACATAAAGGCCATAGGTCAGGGCAGGAGGCTGCAAACCTTCTCTATAAAGGGTAAAGGGTAAATTTTTGTCTGCACAGACCTCTGGGCATCTGTCTCCGTAGGCACTGGGCACCTCCATGCTTGTGGTGCAAAAGCAGCCAAAATTGTCAAATAATGTGGTGACCAGATGTGGCCAGTCCTATCAGATGTGGCCCCATTCCTAGTTTGCTCACCCCAGGTTTAGAGTATATAGGGAGTCCCATATACGGGTGACCACTGCCTTAGGGAATTGTCTCCCAGGATGCCTTTACTGTTTGTTTAAGAGCCACAACCATGCTCTTTGCTTTTTGTTTGGGGTACAGATTTTATTTATTTCTTAGAGAGAGGGGCAGGGAGGGAGAAAGAGATGAGGAGAAACAAGGAGAGGGGAACCTGGCCCACAACCCAGGCATGTGCTGTGACCAGGAGTCGAGCCAGAGACCTTTCTGTTCCCAGACTGGTGCTGATCCCACTGAGCCACACCAGCCAGGGCCAGAACCATGCCCTATTCTGCTTGTGATTTCTGGGAGGAGTGATGTGTGAGGATGTGGGTCCCACAGGCAGGAGCCTGTGCTCCCCTTCCTTGTGTGCACTGCTTCCTGCGTGGAAGGGGCGTGGGAGACAGTGCATGAAGCCATAGGTGTGAGCAGAGGGTGGTGCTGGTACATTGTGGGGTCAAGATGGGGGCCACCTGCTGCTGCATTGCATTGTTCCCAGTGACCCTGCTCCTTTCTGTGCCAGAAAAGTCACCTCTGTCTTATGAGCACTCGGCCTGCCTTAGCTAATGACGCTCATGACGGGCAACTCTGATGTTTCACAGATGAAACTCATCTCTCCCAGGCCCTGTTTAAATGGTGTGGATTTCCCTGACATAGAGCACCTGTACCTGTGATTTGTCATCTCGACATTTGCCACCCCCATTACTGCTGGCAGCCATTTAGGGGAACACAGACTCCCACCACCATCCTGGCCTTCAGCAAAAGGCATCACTGAGCTTTCTGAGAATTCTGGCGTCCTTCCCATCCGTGCTCTCCTCATAGGCTCGATAAACAAGAACTTCAGGCTTTCCCACGGTGCGTGGTTGATTGGACACTTTCCTGCCTTTTCATATTATAGCCTCCCCTGCAATATTCATTTCTCTGAACCAGCTGCCCCCTTCCTCTTCTACCTGCTCAGAAGTTCTGGCCGTTCTGCTCCATGCATGGTAGCTGTGCCTTTTGCCAGCCTTGCAAGACCCGTCCCAGCAGCAGGTTAGCGCCATCTCCCAGGGCTGTGCTAAATCAGGACCCACAATCCTGTACTCCCCCCTTCTCCCACATTGAGATCTATCCATATCCCCCACCCCACTGTCACCCACCTTCCTCAAGACAGCCACCTACATGTCTCTTCACGTCCCTGCAGGGCCATAGCTAGTTCTTGTCAATCCTCTGGCATCTAGACCTTGCCCCCACAGCCACCTGCCAGGACCCTGGGTCGTTTATTGGCTAAGTCATGCTGGGTGTTGGCCTGGTGGACACAGAGAGGACACCTCTGGAGAAGTGCAGCTTCCCTCCAGGCGGAGGCCTCCTGCTCCTCCTCAAGTGAAGGGAGGGGCCAGGCAGGGTCAGTCCCTGCTCTGCCAGCCCAGCCATCAGGGGGATCGTCTTGCTGTCACAGAGATGGGGGGGTGTCTTGGGTTTTTTCTTCTAACCCAAACCTCACCAGCATTTTTTCTTCACAGATGCTCACTCTCTTCGCTATGAGATGAACATTACTTCTAACAACCAACCCCGTTGTGTGGGTCAGGGCCAAATGGATAGAGTGAACTTGCTGTTATTTGACTGTGACAACGAGGTCAAATATATGAATAATATGTTAAAGGACACAAAAACCTTGGAAGATATGACACAGAAGCTGAAAGACATGAGAGACTTGATGAAAGGGAAACTACCTGACATTACACCAGAGAAAAGAGGTAAGTTAGAAAAATCCAGGTGCAGAAGCAAGCAGATTGTGGGGTTCAATACATTTATTGTATTCACATAAAACAACAAAGTGTATGTTGGTCCTTCCCATGTAGCCCAGTAGAAAGGGCGGGGAGAACAGGGCTGGATTAGAAGAGTTCAGAGGAGGCAGACACCAGGTGGGGCAAAGGATTTGTCGAGACCGGAGGCTGACATCTGTCCTGTGGGGACTGTGGGGCAGATTCTATCACCCTGCAGGTGAGGCTGGAGTGTCAGAGTGATGCCGATGGAATCTTCAGTGGATCTTTGGAGTTGGGTTTCAATGGACAGAGGTTCCTTGCCTTTGACGCAGAGAGTGGAAAGTATAAAGTGGATAATCCCAGAGATGAACTGATGAAAGAGAACTGGGAGAATAATGAGGAAGTGACCAAGTGCTTCAAAGTTTTCCTCCAGGGAGACTGCAAGGAATGGCTTAAATTCTTGGTGCGCAAGAAGAAAGAGCTGGAGACAACAGGTAGCAGGGAAGATGTGGGCGGAGTGGTCACTCTACCGAGATAAGATTGACATACTGTTGTGTGAATGGGTACATGTGTGTGACTGAGTATGCACATATGTATGAGTGTGTGGATCTTTGTCTGTGTGCACGTGCAGTAAGGTTGTCATTGCTTGTGTGTGTATATGTCGAGCATCTGAGTGTGGGGCTGGGCATGTGTTTGTGTGCATGTGAATGGGTGTGCTGTGCATTTGTGTACTCATGTGAGTGTATGTTTGAAAAAGACCATCCATGGTAAATTCTTTGGAGGATAAGAGCTGCAGGCGTGCCCCACGTCCCTCCTTTCCCCTCTCTCCTCCTCACGTCCCTCCCTCACCGCACAGAGCCTTGGACCACTCTCTCTGGGTTTCCCGCTGACCCCAACCCTGCAGGCCTCGCTCTCTCTTCAGTCCTGTTCCTGGCACTGCCCCCTCTTCTCACATCACTCTGCTCTTCGTCTCACCTGCTCTGTGTCTGCAAATCCTTCAGTACCACCTCCAATGTCAGCTTCTGTGAGGACTGCTCTATCGCCTTCTTCATGTGTTACCTCCTCTTCTGTCACAGCAGGAGGGACTGGGTGTGTTGTGACCCGACTTCCCCCATTAGCTGCAGGAGCCCAAGGGGACAGGGCCCATCTCCTCCCTTTGTTCCAAACCCAGGACCTGCCACAGTGGCTGCCACACATAGAGGGGTGGAACCTGTCTGCATCGTAGGGTCACCTGGGGCAGCAGGGCTGAGGGGGCGTCTCCTCGTAAATGGGGTCTGGACAAGGCTGACACTCTGGTGTTTCCCCTGCAGCTGCTCCAGCCATGGCTTCCGCCCCAGCCACGCCACCCACAGTTTCAGCCACACCAACCACGGCCCTAGGCGCAGCTCGGTCCAAGGCCACGACCAACAGGCCTGTCACTTCACTCATCCCTCTGATCCTCACCTGCTTGATCACTGGCTGTGTTCTGTTACAGTAACAGGTACAAAGGGCGGAACCGAGTGGGAAGTGAGGGGCAGACAGCCTGCAGTGAGGACAGGGAAGGTGAATTCACACCCCACCCCCTGACCCTCGCTGAACCTTCTGTCCTGGGAATGAGACCAGGACAAGAAGACCTAGAGCCACTTAGTAACAGTCGCATGGACGGCCTCAGCCCCCAGATCTGCCGTCTCCTCACTGTTGGTGACGGAGTGACAGACGGGGGCCCACACCAGGCCTAAGCCCTGCTGATGCTGCAGGGGTTTAGTGATTCAGTCCTCACTCAGATTTTCTGTTTGGGAGAGGGTTTGGGCCCAGGATGGGTGTGGTGTGGGGACAGCAGGCACACAGGGCAGGGCAGTGCTCACTTTCAGGTGAGACCAGCACGGTGGCTGCATGGGATGGGTCCAGGGGATGGGGACTCTCCAGGGGGCTAAGAGGAGGAGGCCTGGGTCTTGTCCCAGGAAGAGGGTGGAAGGGCTTGCAGACCCAAATCAAAAGCCTGGAGTTCAGGACCATGCTCCTAGAGAAACAGGCTTCAGAAGTGCCAGTAAGGAGGTAGGCCAACAGTAAGGACTCTAAGGAGGCATATAGTAAGGTTAGAGGAGGCCACTTCTCCTGGCACCCCTGGGACTCCTGGCCGAACCCTGGCATGATCAGCCAGCACCCTCTGGAGCCCAGATCCTGAGCACAGTCCGGCCCTGCCCTGAGCAGAGGTGACAGGGGAGACAGGTAGAACTGACCAGGAATGGATGGGGCAGGGCTGGGACCGTCATACTGAGAGCTACCTGTGCTGCTAGGTACGAGGCTGGGAGAGAAGAGAGAGGAGGGATGTTTGTCTGTGACCCTCCCCAAGGCTGGAGGAGTGAGGGTACAGGCCCTCCTCTCCATCAGAGCTGCCACCAGGTCCTTTAGGCCCCGCCATTCCTGGGAGAATCGGGACCTGAGTGAAGGGAGCAGACTGATTCATCACTCACTGTAGTCTCCAGCCCAGATGGTCTGTAGCAGGGCCTGGTGCTGACTCTGTGATGTGCAAAAGGTGGGCAGGGTTTGGTGCAGGCTGCTGGCCCCAGGGCTGGGGTGGCAGGTTCAGGGGAATTCATGACCCTAGTGAGGGCAGGGCTTGGGATGGGGAGTGACTGGGGTGCTGTAGCCCCAGGAGAATGGCCCCAGGTTTTCTCAAGCAGGGGAACCAACACTGGCTCTTTTCTGCAGGCTGACGATGCTACCCAGAAGCACCCATAGTGTGGTCTCCCTCAGTGATGCTGCCTTTCCAAAACTTCCCGGTCCAGGGACCACCATCACATTGTTCATTGCATTTGCTATTGTCCTTTTAGGTGCTGTGTTTGGGGGGGTTGTTTGTTTGTTTTTGCTTGTTTGTTTTGCCTTATATTAGATTCACCATATGCATCTAACAGAACAATTTACTCATAATATGTTCCTGATCACTTGTGTGTTTTCTGATTTTGGCTATTTATAAATAAACTGAAATTAACCTTTGAGTATGTATCTTTTAATGGATATAATTTTCAATTTTCTTCGGTGAATGTATAGGCATGGAATGTCGGGGCCTTATTCAGTGCTTCCTCAAAACATATTACGCGAGTTTCTTTTGGTGCTAAGAGGTGTGATTCCTACATCTAAACTTGAAAAGTTTCAATAAACAAATTTCAACAAATGGAGAATTTTCCATCTTCTCCTTTGTTTGTGGAAGATCAGATACATCTCTGCATGATAACTTTCTTTGTGCAAATGATATTGCCTGAAAGTACTGAGCTCAGGCCTTCTTTCTGTGTCCCCTGAAATGATCATGCATTTAAACAAATAACAAAAGCAGCCCTGGCTCTTGTGGCTCAGAGGATTGAGCACTAGCCAAAGGGTTACTGGTTCGATTCCCAGTTAGGGTTGCAGGCCAGGATCCCAGTGCGAGGCGCCCAAGAGGCAACCACACATTGATGTTTTTCTCCTCTCTCTCTCTCCCTTCCCCTCTGTGAAAAAATAAATAAAGTCTTTTAAAAATCATATTTGTGACTTTCCATTAGTACCTTATCACCTTACAATTATATTTTAGAAGCACCTGTATATTATTAACAAGTTCATTCCTTTGCACTTTTGTTATATGACCAGAAGAGAATTCACAGCAATTGGCTGGTCCTGCAAGTTGTGGAGTAAATATTACAGACGATTCTGCTACATTTCTGCTGGAAACAGGGAATTTAAGTGTCACCCATTTTTCTCTTTCCACCTGGCTTTTCAACAGCTAAGAAATGATTGTTTCTTTGTTTTTGTTTTGACTTACTTTTCAATTCCAGTTTGCATTCAATATCATTCTGCACTAGTGCAGGTGTACAGCGTAGGGCTAGACAACCAAAGACTCTACAGAGTGGTCCTCCTGATATTTCCAGTACCCCCCAGCCCCATGCATAGTTCTTACATTATTATCAACTGTATTCCCTCCATTGTAGTTGACATCCCTGTGACTAATTTGTAGTTCTCAATCCCGTCACCATTCTCACCCAGCTTTCCGACCTCACCCCACTCTGGCAGCCATTAGTCTGTTCTCTATATCTGTGAGTCTGTTTTCATTGTGTTCATTCATTTATTTTGCTCTCAGATTCAACATGTAATTGAAATAATACACTTTTGTCCTTCTCTGTATGACTTATTTCCATTAGCATAATAGCCTCTAGGTGCATGCTTGCTGTCAGAAATGGCAAGGTTTTATTCCTTGTAATGACCAAGTCATGTTCCATTTTATACATGTGACACCATTTTTAGTCCAGTCATCTACTGACGGGCACTTGGGCTGCTTCCAAATCTCGGCTGTTGTAAATAACACTGCAATGAACATCGGGGTGTATGCGGTCTTTCAAATTAGTGTTGTGGCTTCTTCACATAGACAGCCAGAAGTGGAGTCACTGATTCATAAGACAGTTTAACTTTTCCTTTATTTTGAGGAGCATACACACTGTTTTCCATGTGGCTGTGCCAATCTGCCTTCCCGCCAACAGTGCACAAGGTTCCTATTTCTCCACAGCCTCTCTGACACTGGTTGTTTGTTGATTTATTGATGATAGCCAGTCTGACAGGTGTGAGGTGGTATCTCATTATGGTTTTAATTTTCATTTCTGTGGTGATCAGTGACATTGAGCATCTTTTCACATGTCTTTTGGTCACCTGAGCTCTTTAGAGAAGTGTCTATTTAGGTCCTCTGTCCAGTGTTTAACTGGGTTGTTTTGGTTTTTGTGTGTGTGTGTGTTTTTGGGGGGGATGTTAAGTTGTATGAGTTGTTCATAAATGTTGGGTATGAAACCCTTTTTGGATGTATCTTTGGGGAATACTTCTTTCCTTTTAGTAGGTTGTCTTTTGCTTTGTTGAATGTTTCCTTTACTATGCAAAAACTTTTTAGTTTTATGTAGTGCCATTATTCACTCTTCATTTGTTTTCCTTGCCCATAGAGATATGTCAGGAAAAATATTGTTAAGAGATTATATTGCCAATGTTTTCTCCTAGGAGTTTTATGGTTTTGAGTCTTACATTTAAGTCTTTCATTCATTTTGATTTTATTCCTGTGTGTGGTGTAGGAAGGTGATCTAATTTTATTTTTTGGCATGTATCTTTTCAATTTTCCTAACGCCATTTATTGAACAAACTGTCTTTACTCCCACTCATTTGTCCAATATCAGTGGACCACCTAGGCATGGGTCTATTTCTAGGCTCTCTATTCTGTTTCATTGATCTGTGTGTCTGTTTTGAGGTCTGATTACTATGGACTTGTAGTATAGTTTGATACTAGGTAGCATGATGCCCCCAACTTCCTTCTTTCTCAAGATTGCTATAGATATTCAGGGTTATTTGTGGTACTTAGAAATCTGGAACTAGAACTATTTGTTCTAGTTCTCTGAAACATGTTTAAAATGTCTCACAAAAAATCCCTATGACATTTTCATAGGAATTGTGTTGAATGTATGAATGACCATGGGTAGTATGGACATTTTAACCATGTTAATTCTTCCTGTCCATGAACATGCTATATGCCCCCATAGATTTGTATCTTCTTCAGTTTCTTTCTTTAGTGTCTTATAATTTGCCAACTACAAGTCTTTTACCATCTCAGATTTATTCCTTGTTACTTTTACTGCAGTTGTAAATGGGATTGTTTTCTGAGTTTCTATTTCATATAGTTCATTGTTAGCATATAAATATACAAACAATTTCTGAATATTTATTTTGTATCCTGCTCTTTTTTTAAATCCATTTATCAGTTTTAGTAGTTTTTGATGGAATCTTTAGGGTTCTTTCTATTTAGTATGATATCATCTACAAATAATGACAATTTTACTTCTTCCTTTCCAATTTGGATGACTTTTATTTCTTATTCTTGTCTGATTTCTGTGGCTAGGACATCCAATATTAAGATGAATAAGAGTAGTAAAAATAGACATCCCTGTCTTGTACCTGATCTTAGGGAAAACACTTTTTCTTTTTCCCCATTAAGTTTGATTTTGGATAGGGGTTTGTCAAATGTGGTTTTTATTGTGTTCAGTCATTTTCCCACTATTTTCACTTTGCTGAGAGTTTTTATCATAAATTGGTGTTGGATTTTGTTAAATGTTTTTCTGTATCTATTGATATGATCATATGATTTTTATTCTTCATTTTGTTTGTGTGGCATATCATGTTAATTGATTTTTTAATATTGAATCGTGCTTGAATTCTGGAAATATATCCCACTTAATCATGGTGTACGATCATTTTAATGTATCTCTAAATTGGTCTGCTAATATTTTGTTAAGGATTTTGCATTTATATTTATCAGAAATATTGGCTCATAATTTTATTTCTTTGTAATGTCTTTACCTGGTTTTGAAATCAGGATAATGCTGGCCTCTTCAAATGAGTCTGGGAGTCTTCTTCCTCTTGAATTTTTTAAATAGTGTAAGAAGGAGAGGTGTTCGTTTTCCTGTGAATGTTTGGTAAAATTTACCAGTGAAGCCATTTGTTATAGGACTTTTGTTTGTTGCTATTTTTTATTACTGCTTAGAGTTTGTTGGTTGTAACTGGCCTGTTCAGATTTTCTGTTTCTTGTTGCTTCAGTCTTAGAAAATTGTAAGTTTCTAAAAATTGATCCATTTTTTCCACATGTTCTAATTTGTTGGCATATAGTTGTTCATAATATTTTCTTAGAATCTTTTGTATTTCCGTGGTGTCAGGTTTTACTTCTCATTTATTTCTCTTTTGGAGATAGTGGTAAGTTCTCTCTTTTTTTCCTGGTGAGTGTTGTTAAAGGTTTATTCATTGCTTTTAACTGTTTGAGGAACCACTCTTGGTTTTACTCATCTTTTGTATTGTTTCTTTACACTCTATTTTGTTGTTTTCTTTTTTTGCTCTGATGTTTATTATTTTCATCCTTCTACTCACTGTGGGCTTTGTTGGTTTTTTTCTAGTTCCTTAAGGTAAGAGATATATTTGGGATTTTTCCTGTTTCTTCAGACAGGACTGTCTGTATTGCTGTGGATTTACCTCTTGGGACTGCTTTTGCTGTATCCCATAGATTTTGGGTTGTTGTGTTTCATTTTCATTTGTCTCAAAACATTTTTTATTTCTGGATCTTATTGTTAACCCATTCCTTGTTTAGTAACACATTATTTAGTTTTCATGTGTTCGTGTGTTTTTGGTTTCTTTCTTATAATTGATTTCTAGTTTATCCCATTGTAGCAGGAGAAGATGCTTGGTATGATTTCAATCTTCTTGCATGTGTATACAAACAGAAGCTATATTCAGCTTCTTTGGGGTAAAATGCTCTGAAAATACCAATTACATTTATCTGGTCTATTGCATCATTATTGACTTTCTGCCTGGAAGATATATTCATTGATGGCAATGCAATGTTAAAGTCCCTTATTATGACCTTACTACAGTTTTTCTCACCTTTACATCCATTGATATTTGCTTTATATATTTAGGTACTCCTAAATTGGGTGCATAAATGTTTACAAGGTTTATATGCACTGACTGGATTGATCCCTTTATCATTCTGTAATGTCATGTTGTTTCTCTTATAGCCTTTGTTTTAAAGTCTACTTGGTCTGGGATAAACATTGTTACCCCAGCTTCTTTCCCCATTTACATGAACTGTCTGTTTTCATCCCTTTATTTTCAGTCTGTGTGTGTGTTGTTCAATCTGAAGTGGGTCTGTTGTAGATGGCACATATATGGGTCTTGTTTTCTTTCAAGGATCACTTTTATGCATGCTGTGCCAGTCTCAGACACCATCCTGATACTTTGGAAACCAGTGGATATTCTGGAAATTAAGTGGTGAGAATCATTCTCATTTTGCCTG